TTATCAAAATAAATTTTTTTAAGTGCTTTCAATTAAAAATTGTTTATGCATATACACTAAAAACACTTAAAATTTGTTATTTTTATTTGAAATTTTTGGATATTTTAAAATCAATTTCTCTCGGATAAAATATTTAAAATAATGTTTTAAAAAAAAACAACCGATGATATCATACTTTTCAAATAAATTTTTTATGCTAATATTATTGATTATTTTGGAAACACACACACACTAGTATATACTTTGAAAAATAATCTTCTCAACAATATTCAACAATGATAGAATTTATTTAAAATTTTTTAATTTTTATGTAATTTTTTTACATTAATTGCTGTCTTAATTTTTCAATGCAATCTTATGAAAAAATAATTATATTTATACTCCTTTATGTTCGATTAATTGAAACTTGTGTTTTAGATTATTATAAATTTTTATTTAAGAATCAATGTATAAAGAAAAACAAATTATGTTTTTTTTTCTTAAGAAGGAAATGTATATAAAAAAAAACATAAGAAATAATTAATTAATTAAAAAATTTTGGTTAAAAAGCATCAAGTTAGTCGACACACACACACACACACACACACGATATATATATATATATATATATATATATATATATATATGGAGAGGACTACCAAACTATAATGATGTTTTCAAATAATTTTATCGGTTCTATCCGATCCACAACGCAATGTGCGACAATTAGCTAGTTAATACAACTACAATCATTTTAACCTTATTTTAGTATCCTTTGATGGATTTTTTTTATAAGCCAATAGCCATGAATAAAAAACCGAGTTTGAAATAGTAATAGGCGAGAAAAGAATACGGGATCTATTTGCCACAGAGGCGGTGTTTATTTCCATGGTTGAATGGAAGGGAAGAAATATTGACAAAGAAAGAAGGAAATTTGGTAAATAGAGAAGAAAATTTGGTAAACTTGCTTCATTTATTTGCACAGACTTCTAGAAGAATACAAGTTGTATTGACACTAGTCTCATATTAAACAAATACTTAATAATTAATTCAACTAACTAACTGATTAGAAACAAACTAATACATGTCATTGATTAACTTATAAGCTAACATGTAGAAACAAAGGAAAGAACATAAATGTAATGCCCAGTAACTCGCTAAAATAGAAATATAATAAAAGTTTAATATTAAAACCGTGTGAATACACACACACACACACATACATTTGAGAATGAGAAATAATTACTAGAAACTTAAAAAAATATTTAGAAGGGTCAAAATAGTTTTCCATGCTTAAAGAATATTTTAGTGATTTTTCGATACATGAATAGTAGTTATTGCATGAGAAAATTAATTAAAGCATGTTGTTTATGTATGAAAAAAAATTTTTTGTTTAGAATAATTTTTAGAAGGGTGTTAGATTATTTTATATGATTTTATGAATTTTTCTACATATGGTGAATATTTAATTGAATTTTCTAAGTGTAGGAATAATGTTTTTAGAGGTAAAGAATTTAATTAGGCAACTTAAGAGTATGGGAAATTTTTTTAAGAGAATAGAATAATCATATAGGATGTGTGAGAGTGCCTAGAAAATTTAAATTAATTTTAGTAAGTATAGGGAATGTTTTTATAGGAAATAGTGTAATTTTCACACTAAATAAATAAATTGAAGGATCAAATTAGGGAAAAAATTATGAAAATTTAAATCAAACTCCCTTAATGAATTTTTGAATTTATTCTAAAAATAAATTTTATTTTTGAAAAGTATAGAATGGAATTTTAAAAGTAGGGACTAAATTGTATAAAATTAGGAACTTGATTGAATAAAATTAAAAGTATAATAATCTAAATTAAATTATGTGAGAATGTTAAGGGTTAAAAATTAGTTCTAAAACCACAAAGGAAGAATTAGATGTGAGTTTTTGCATAAAAGAGGGACTTAGGAAAGAATGGGCTATGGAAAAGCCTAGAAACTTGGAGGACCAAAATTTGTCATTTTCCTCCTAACTTTGGTTGACCTAGATCATTAATTAATTCTGACTTCCAGTAAAAATTATGGCAAAAAATAAGCAAGATGGAAGGGTTAAATAAAAAGGTGAATAAATGGATAAAAATTGGGACAAATGCAAATGAATGATTGAAAATTGAATTAAGGGCTGACATTTTCCCAAATTAAGGGTGGATATGATTTAAATAATTCCACTAAATTTTATATAAATAGGAGTTCTTGAAAAATAAAAGGAGAGAAAAAATTGAAAAACATATAAGAAACTCTCACAAAAGTTTCACTTAAAAATCACCCAAAACATTTTTAATAAATTCGATCCACTTCTAATCAGTGGAAGAAGCTTGAATTTAAAGTGGAAACCTAAAAATCTCAAGGAAAAAATTCGAAGATCAAATTCAAAAATTTAGAGGAAAAGAGGAGGAAGAGAAATCCTTCACCAATCTACTTTTTTAGAGTCTAATTGGAGCTCAAACGAGTAAGTTAACCTCAACTACACCACAATTATGCTTAATTTCAAGTCAATTTCATGTTTAATTACTTGATTTGATTTAATTGCTCAATTAAGAAAAAATTAAGGTTAGGGTTCTTGATGAACCAAATTTGGGGGTTTCGAATTCTTTCATTTAATTGATGTTTTGGCACTTGATTCTGACTTATTTGAACATGAATTAATTTTTAGGAATGAAAAATTATATTTTAATTGAAGAAAAAATCCACTAATTTTTAGAAATTATATTTGGCCCGGACTAAACAAATTAGTGTTTGAGTTCAAAGCAATTTGATTCTGTGTTGGTGAGTCATATACACTTAAATAAGTATATTGTGGTGAGTTGAAGTGAAAAATTCGTCAAAAGTTGAAGAAAATGGGTTTTATGGGCTTGGGCCCAATTTCAGCCCATTAAGGCCCAATAAGGGTTTGGACCAGATTTCGGGTCCCAAATTTCAGTTAAATTAATTCCTATAGTTTTTAGATATCTAGGCTACTTAGTGTTAAAATGGTGGGACAAAATGAGGATAAAATGTTAGGATTCTAAAGAGGTCAAGTTTTAGGTCTAAATGGGAATTTATTTTAAACCAAGTTTTAAACCTTAAAATTCATGATTCAGACTCAAAACACAGTAAAAGGATGGTTTAGAATGAAAAGGGCTCATAAAAATTTAAAGAAAAAATGGGTTAGGAAAAATTGGGCCTTAGGCTCATTAAGGCCCAAACCGAAATTGAACCTCCTAAATCAATGAAATAATACCTAGTTAGGTTGGAACATGAAATGATACTTAATTTGGTAAAGTCTAAATATGGAAAGATAATTAAGAACCTAATAAAAAGAATTTAGGAGAGTAAAGTGAAAGGTAAGTTTAATGAACAAAGAAATGGAACAAAAATGTTCATCTTCCTTTATGTTATGGTTATGTTCTTTCAACTATTATATGAATGCATTAGGTTATGAATAATGGTTATGCTTAAATGTGATTGATGATGAGAATTGGGTTATGATGATTGATGTGCCAATGATGACGGTGTTGGTTTATATTGGATTGATGTTATCTATGCTCGTTATGCTTGCTCAAATTTTTATCGATTCTTATGACTTGGTCACATAACCATTCAAAGTAAGCATTCATGAATTCATACAACATGCTGGTTCATTGCAATTGCATACACATGTTTAGCTCATGAATAATGTTTTAAGTCATGGAAATATAATTTATGTCATGGTTATCCAATGGCAATCGGAATGATTTTAAAGGAAAAGATTTCCATGACTTGAAGGTTTTGAGGAAAGGACTTCATGGGTTTTTCATACAGGTGATGGTAATGGTTCGGGGTCGGACAAGTGCGGACGTGCACTTTTAGAGGCTCCGTAGGGCGCGTCCGTGGACGAGTCCGGTTTGTCGGACATATGTGATGGAAACCCCGAAGTACCTAAATGGGACATGTCCAAAAATAGAAAAAGGATTTTCGGATCTGTTTATGAAATATTTTATGACATAAGAAAAAAGGATTCGTTATGCATATCGTTGTTTTATGGATACATACATATGTATGTACACTACATACATACGTTAATTTATCGGGTCGTAGCTCATACGGTTTCTTGCGGTGTAGATATATAAGATTCTACGACTCACTCCTCTACGAAGCCGACTATCGAGGGAGGCATTAGATGCATGTAGCTTGGATGAGGTTTTGGCTTCGGGTAGACCCATTACATAGAGTAGTTGACTAGAATCAGTCATGTATGTAAAGAGTTAAGGTGTGTAATCGAATTAGTAATAATAAAATAATAATATCGTAGTAATAGTATAGTTAGTTTAAATTATCCACTCGCATATTGATATGATTAGAAGTTTAACAAACATGTAAGATGAAATAAATTAAAATAAAATATCATGCTAAATAAACGCGACATAAACGCGAAAAAATTATAGCAGAGTTGAAGTAAGAAATAGGACATGAACATCATTAAAAGATTTTACCATGTATTCTTACATACTTTATAATAAGATCATAGTGTTTTGTTAGCTTACATTCATTGCACTTCGAATGTGGCTAACGACGGTAATATTCTCAACTTATTAGGTCTTAGGTTAGGGATGTTACAATTAACATAATGAAAATACCAAAATAGAGATAAATGGATAGAGTTGATCACATCCAAGAATAATCGGTCTAGAAACATCTTGGTCCATACGGCAAAATCTTTATTATGATGGACCCTTTGTTTAGCAAGCTTATTTGCTATGCTCGTTTCGATTCCTTAGAACATGTATAAACAAAACTTCTTGAATTTTTTTATATAAATATTAATGGAACGGATGGAAATAGGTTTAGATCGCCGCCCATTAATTCAATCCCTTACTTTTAAAAGAATACAATAAGATTATAGTGCTTTGTTAGCTTACATTCATTGCACTTCGAATGTGGCTAACGACGGTAATATTCTCAACTCATTAGGTCTTAAGTTAGGGATGTTACAATAAACATAATGAAAATACCAAAATAGAGATAAATGGATAGAGTTGATCACATCCAACGAATAATCGATCCGAAACATCTTGGTCCATATGGCAAAATCTTTATTATGATGGACCCTTTATTTAGCAAGTCGATTTGCTATGCTATTTCATTTCCTTAGAGCATGTATAAACAAAACTTCTTGAAATTTTTTATAGAAATATAAATGGAACGAATGGAAATAGGTTTAGATCGTTGCCCATTAATTCAATCCCTTACTTTTAAAAGAATACTTTATCAATACTTATTAGAAAATTACTTTATAAACTGGTATGCGGTTTACCCCTAATTTAATATTGATTAAAATAATTTATCAAGAAATTTCACTTTAGTCCTTATGATTTTAAATAAATTTAAGTTGATTTTAAAAGTTAAAATTATTTACAATTTGATCCTTTATATAAGTTATTTTTGTTCAAGTTTTCATAAAAACATATAGTCCTAATTTTATAAAAATTTTACAATTATGTATTTACATGTTCAATTTTTCTTCATATATATATATATATATATATATATAAAGCAAGGGGTTTACACCACTTTTGATTCGTCTAGACCTTTTTTGAATACATAGAGATTCGATCGATGCAATGCACCTATGCTTGCCTAGGGCTTTTAGTTTATAACTTAAAGAAGCTTATTTTTGTTGAATTGTTATTGTAAAAAAGGATGCTCATTATGTTGATTTTGGAAACACAATAGCTACCAAATGATTCTACCTGCATTTGTCTTAAATTAGTATTGCTTATCTCAAAGAATTCTTTGTCTTGCCTTTATTTAGTTTGTAATGGACCTTTTGGATACTTCGATCATGTTTGCTGAATCCATATATATGTGTTTTATTCCATCCAATAATATGGTAGATGTTTGTTATGCTATTCATCTATTTTTATTTTCATCGAGTTCTTTCATGTTCCTATTTATCAAACACCCATACATTGATGTATGTAAAAACACTAAGGGTCATAATGGTCATTTACCTTAGAATGAATAGTTTTGCCGACACCTATACCATTTTGGAATCAATTATTGCCTTCCTAAAATAATTTGTTCAACCTATCACTATAGTTCATTGATTCGAATTGAAATCATTTTTCCTACCATAAGCATGTAGCTCCTATATTGAAAAGCTATTACAATGACATATCGCTTGCATTAAGTGAATTCAACTACATTACGCATGCCAACTCAACATCTTTAGATTTCTTTTATATTAATGCTATTTAATTATGTCGTCTTTTATAAACAAGCAAATAAAAAAAAGAATATTACATGCCATTCAATGTTTTGATGATTTGAAACATGACTGAATAAACAACCATTTTCTTTAAAGTTGAATATTTGAAATGACTATCACATGACATCATCTTAATTTTTATACAAAGCTAATTTAAAACCTTTAAATATGCACCTATTGTATCATTGTTCAAATACCAAAACTTGTTGTTGTGCTCTTCCATCCTAAACAAACGATAGCCACACGAGTTGTACAATTCTTTTCTTCATTTTCTAAACTCATTTTTCATGCATTCTTTTATATATAAAAAAAATTGTTCAATTTCTAACTTTGTGCCTTTTAGCTCAATCCATGGATATTAGAAGTTTGCAAATAGAAAATAGGAAAACAATCAAACATTTGTTTTAATTAGCGATTGACAATGTAAAGGCTTGTATAGCTCTTCACCCCTATCTATAAAATATTTTACACATGCAACTTCGTTTGAATTTCTTCCTGGTAAGATAAATTCTATATTTATAGCATCATCATTTTTTTCTAGACTCGTTTATTGCACAATTAAAGCTATAATCATCCATACCGACACAACTTTGGATAGTGGTATTTTGCATGTTCACAGGTGCAATCACCTTGCACAAAAAACAACGAGATATGTACCCATGCGCAAGCCATGGAAAGCTTGACCATAATCGGTGCAATCACGAGTGCAATCATTTTGCATGTTCATAGTAAGCACCGATTAAATCCTTATTTGTTTTATTGCCAATGTCGTTACTTCGACTTAACTTTTTTACATGATCAATACAAATGCATAACGATTATGTTGCAACATCTTGGTACATCCTTTTTCATTTTACCCAAATATCAAATCACTTGCATCATCCAATATGCAACGATGAAGCCAAGTCGCTTCTCACTAGGAATGTTGCTTCCTCATACTTCGGATACACATGCAAACAACTAGTTATTGATTATGGATATGTTGAAAAAAATACTATGCCGTAACTATTGCTCAATTCGGTTAATCGATTTAAAATATTTTGTATCGAAGTAACCATTTTTTTAGAAAAATAATTGACCATCACTTCATTACAACTCATATATTCAATGTCAATAGCGGTCCTGCACAACAAATCAATTTGGTCGATGAGCAAAAGTGATAGTTGTACTTATATGAACATCTTGTCATGAACATCTACCAAACTAGTTTCTACTAGCTACCACATACCCATGCATTATGAGCTTTCATTTTTTTCCCTATATACCCATATCAATGTTAAAATAATAACAAAATATTGTTCTTGAATAATAGCTTTCTTCTTCTATTCAAAAAATAACAACTAAACACCAAAATTTACAAACAAATAAATATAAAATTTCATTAAGCACTTTCAAAAATACCGACGTCCTTTAAACATTGCATTAAATCACTAGAAAAACCATCACACATACTTGTTTTATTCAAAGTAGTATAGCACTAGTATCCCATTAGTTATTATAAAACAAGCTAAAATATTTACTCGTTCACTATACTAGTTATACACTCACAAAATACAATTCATTTAATGTTCATTTAAACTCGTGTGTAGAAATGACAATGGACTAGGTATAAAACGAGAATTAAAAATATCCAATTTGTATTAAAGTAGATCAGAATAAAAAACATCCACAAATATAGTTTCGAGTATGAATACCCATTATTTACTTTATTATGAGTACCCATTATTTACTTTATTAATACCCACTAATTTGTTTTAATTTATTTTATTAACATTTAGGAATCTAATTGCATAAACTTTAAAAACTAAGGAAAAAAATTATTTGAGGACTAAAAAAACTTATAAAGAAATGACCAAATGCAATATATATATATATGTTACTTTTATTGTTTAAAATTAATTTTTTTTATTTTTTTATATAATTTTGTTTGTTAATAAATATTATTTATTTTCTCTATGTATTAATTTTTTAATAAAATTTTAGGATATCATTATTTTATCTTTTATTAATGAACACATATATCGATTATATTACTCTTATTGTTTAAAATTGATTTGTTTTTATTTTTCATTTATTATGAAAATTCTCATTAATTAATTTTATATTTTTATCTAATTTTATTTTTTAATAAATATGATTTATTTTTCTTTATGCATGGTTTTTTTTAATAAAACTTTAAAATATCATTATTTATTCTATTTTTGTATATTGATATAATTCATATGATGGATTGTTATGATTTTTAAATGAGTGTGTTAATAATTTAAAAATATATTTTAGATAATTTGTCTCAAAACTTTTAAAAAACCAATTATACAAATAGAATTCATGTATTTTATTTGCTTATTCTTTATATAATTAAAATTTATCAAGATTAATTTTTTAGTTTTTTTAATTTTAGTCTATTAAATTTAATATATTCCTTGTAATTTATTTTTATAGTTATTTTTTGTTTATTACTGCATACTCGAACCCATTTAGTATTGTCAACGATGTATATAAAAACACCGAAATAATTGATTTTATTAGAAATTAACTATGCATCCGCATACATAACACTAACCATTTGTTATTTGTTTTTTCATTTTCTACAATCAATTTCTTTGAAATAAAATAATTAAAATATTATTTTAGAAGAATCATCTAATGATTCAAATACGACTTCTTATACTAGTATTATGGATTATTTTGTGAATAAATATATATAAATCAAATGTACATATTTGTTAAAAAAAATAATCTTTTCATCACAATTAAATAAGAATGAAAAAAAAATACATTTGTTAATTTTTATACAAGTTTTTATATTAATTGTGGCTACATTTTTTCGATGCAATCTTATGAAAAAATATGAAGGCATTTTAAAAAAATTTTGGATTAAATATTCTGTTTAGATTATTGCAAGTTCTTATTTAAAAATCAATACATAAAAAATAACAATCATGTTTTTTTTAACTAAAAAATTTATGAAAAAATAAGAAAGAATAAATTATAAAATTAGAATTTTTTTTAACCTTTAATTCAATATAATTTATCATACCTTCAATATAGTAAAGTCTATCTAATTAAACTTTTTTTTTTCTAATGATTTCACATATTCCGTTAGATTCGCAATGTAGCGCGAGCAAACAACTAGTTATTCTTAAACTCTTAGTTTGCTTTGGTTATGATAAGCAAATAGCCAAAAAAAAAATAAATAAATAAAAATAAAATAAAAAAATCATGTAATTAATATGTACGTTGTCAGTTAATTTCATCACTGTATGATTTACATAGAAATTATATATGAAATTGGCAATTGGGGTGGGTATTATTGATGGGTATTGTTGGGTCAAAATGGATATGGGCCATGTTATATCCTTTGCCTATTTATTTTTTATGTGCATACTCATATCCACTTAAAACTCACTTAATCCTTATCCTACCCGTAAAGTCATTTAAATTGGTTGGTTAATTTTGATCAAGTTTACAATTTGACATTCAGGGATGTAACTGAATTTTTTTTCCAAATAGGGACTAAATTGTAAGTACTAAAATTAAGAGGACCAAACAAATTTCTAAAAAGAACTAAAAGAAAATTAAGATATAGAGACTAAAATAAAAAATTTTAAAATTTCGAAGAGTAAATCAACATTTTTGAATTATTTTTTTTTGTCAACCCATCACTAACCCATTTAAATTTTGGCATAAATATTACAATCTATCTTTATATAACAATTTGAGTATCCAAATTGTCTATATATTTCTAATTGCATATATCATGTTTCTAAATAAAGTTCAAGTCTCCAATCTATCCTTCCAACTAGTTTTTCCGACCATATGTAAAATTATTAGTTGAAATATCTTTGATTGAAATATTAAATACTTAAAAAATAGAATATTCAGATTATGTGATTTTAAGTTTTTTTTTCCTCAAGCAATTTGGTTAAAAAGTTTGTCCATTGTTAAAAATATTGATTGAAATGATAGATTAAACATTTAAACATCATTAAAAAAAATATAGTATATTCAATTAAAAACATAATGATAAAATAAAAATTCAGATTATTATATAAGAATAGTTTGGGCGATGTCGATGCTTTTGAAATAGTTATTAAACTTCTAGAGTTATTCGTGGATAAAGCATCTGATTTGGATCCTAATGTTATACATGTATTGCAATAAGAATAGCTCCCATTTTCCCCCAAAATATCAATTATTATTATGGGAAGACAATCAAATTTTATTGATTAACCTCTTAGTCTTAAAAATAGAGTTCTCAATCAAGATAAACAGAGACACAAACCTGTTAAAATAGAGAAACAAATCAGACCATTTAACCACCTTGAAAAAGTTTTTGTGTCATTTTCGCCACGAGCCATTCGCCAATATAGTAATAACCATTTTAATGGCTTTTTTCGGAATAATGCTCGGTATAACAAAATTTTTGCAACGAAAATATAACGAATATAAATAATGGTATAAGGGTAATTTTATTCAACTTTCTGATCATTTATTTTCATTTGAATATTCGTGATATTTTCTTTAAAAAATTTGTTTTATAAATTATTACTCTTTTCACCAACACAAAATAAGGAAACTTGCTTCTTCTTCTTCTTCTTCTTCTTTCATGGCAAAAATTATGGCAGATAGCTAATTTTATATATAAAAAATGATAGGATAACTTGGCAAATTTTCCATAATATCCAATATTGCGCGACAGTAGGTTTTTTTTTTTTTTTTTTTAAAAAAAGTATTTTGCTAAGTAATGCTAAATAATCACCATTGCCTTTATACAAGTTATTATTTCATCATTTATATGCTCAGCTGATTTATTTATCTTTCCTTGTCAAAAGGACTTAATGGTGCAGTGCAAACCTTGCAAATATACTGCCACATTGTTTTAATGTAACAGTAAATAAAAAGAGAATTTTTTGCCAAATAATGTGCTCTCAGTAACCAAACGAGGTGATGACATTAAAAAAGCAGCAAAAATAATTATGTTTTCTTTTATAATTGGTTGTCAGGATTAATTTCAATTAACCAGAAGTAAAAAGCTAACTTGTTGTTTATTATTAAATTTATATTTTAATATTGAATATTGCAAAATTTACTAATCAAATTGTTATTTTTATCATTTCTTTATACAATTATTAGTATACTCTTTATCAATCACTAATAACCATTATATAACACATAAGTAGAGAGTATTGATAATTTTTTAAAAAACAAATTGATGAAAATAATAATTTAATTGGTGAATTTAACGGTGCCTTTTAATAGTTGATTTTTTTTTTACCATATAGCCGAACTTACCTATTTTTGTAAATAAAATGCTAAACTATATTGGTTTTTTTTTTTTTTTTTACCAATAAACTGTTGTGGGGCGCAAGCGCTTTGTCTCTTCTGATTTTATACATTTCCAAAACCTTTGGTAAGAAGAATAACTGGCTAAATCTATTATTTTTAACTTGTGTTTTCATCCATTCATAAGAAAGCTTTTTTATTATCAATTCAGTTAATTGAAAACGTATATTTTTAATTTCAACCAATTAAATTCAATTTTTTTTAAATTAAAAATTTACCTTAATTAATTGAACACTTATTTTTACAACATGATTAATTTTTTTATCAAGTGTTTTTTTTTCATTCCCATTAATATTATCATCTATCATGCCTTTCTATTAAGTAGTTTATATATATATATTCCCAATTGACTGAAATCAAAATACAAACGTTTAATTGACCAGATTGTTAAAAGATGAGCTTTTTGATAAATTGATGAAAATACAGAGTAAAAATAATGGGTTTAGCTAAAATAATTTCTTAAAATTATAATTTACCCATTTTGTAAACAGCAACAAGAATTCTAAAATAGTTGTTACTGTAAGGCATTAAAGCCTATTATGATTTGAAACCACAAATTACATCAGCTAAGCCCAAATAAATGGACTATCTGACCAGGCCGAAACCACAACTCAACGAAAACCTAACAGACCAATATTTATAAGAAATGGTTGATTGATCAAACAGTTTTGATTGAAAGGAAGACCTAATGGCCTGGGCAATGGATTGATCTATGGAAAAAATTTGAACCTTTACCGTTTGCACTTGTGATCAATTAGGTTCAGTTTAAACCAAATCCATCAATTAGTTGGGTTAAATGGAAAATGGTTAAAAAGGCAATTTAACTTTGGGGATTGGCCTGATATAATGCCTACCCAACTCAATTTTGCGATTACTTCTTCACCATCAGGCTAACCTTTTTACTTTTACCAATATATATATATATTTTCTATTTGATCCACCCGATATCTCGGAATTTTAGCGTGGAGCTTTCATACCCAGTAAGTAGAGAATTGCATTTTTTATACTGATATCCATAGTGAATTGTTAAAAAGTTTATATAAAATTATTTCTGAAAATTTTATTTAATATTTAATACTTTTGAATTGAAATAAAATTTTGTTATCAGTTCTTTTTGATAAATTAAATTTCAACAGAAAGTAGCAATAGGTACGTGTAAGTTTTAATTAAGTGAAAGTGTTTTCACTTGGCAAGACATGATATAGAGTTTATATACAACTATTTCTATAATTTCATGCAATAATTTAAATTTTTAAATTGAGATTATTTTTTTGACAGTAATGAAATTGATTTTTTATTTTTTATATATCAGAAAATAAAACTTAAAATTTTGTTTTGATTACGTTGTGAAGATGCACTCAACAATTAACTGTTCGAAGATTATAAAAGCCACTATCCTCTTTCAATGATCGAAAGAGGGCATAATTGCATAATGCCAACAAACAAATTGCAAATCATAATTACCAGGAGGAAGATATTTTTGAAGCATGATTAAAGTGATCATTAGCAATTGCCAACCATTAATTTGCTAGAGAGATAAGAACATAAACCCTTCCGTGTATACTTTCAATACGATTATATATATCACCAATTGCAATTGTGAATTTATGGAAATAAATTTGATCCACTTTGAGGTGTAATGAGGTTCCTGTTTTTGTTTTTTTGGTCACCACTTGGTCCAGTATCAGATGTTCCGGAAAAAAGTTGTCATTTCCTCATTTGTTTTTCTAACAAAATATGGTATCCATGAATTCTTTTCATAATGGATTCTATTTTTTTTTTTTTTATGAAAAATAAAATTACAACTCTTAATATGTCTAATAAATTTTGTTTAAAATATTTATTAAACAAAATATTCGTATTCCGTTACAATAAGACGCGAGTCATAGAAATTTAATTTGTTTGAGAAGAAGAGTCTATCTTACAAAAAAAAAAAAAAAAAAAAAAAAAATCTGTACATGCAAATAAGAAAAGCCTTCACCCTAGAAATTTGTGGAGAATTGAGATTCTGAATTGTTCTTAATTTATAAACAATAATAATAATAACAAACATATAAAAAATTATATGAATCCAATTAATTATGAAACCAAAACAGTTTTATATCTGTCTTTGAAGGAAAATAAGATGCCATGCAAGAAACAAAAATCGAAGTTGCTACTTTGGTTGGAAGAGTAGCTGCAATATGAGGATGATAATTACTTATTAAATACATTAAAAATTTATCAAAGAGATGATATAGCTAGACAGTTATATATATATATATATATATGTATATATAACTGTTCGCGTTCTATATATAGCATTATTCCCAATAAATAATATTACAACATCAACATGTCAGATGTTGGTAATTAGCAATATCTATGGGATCGAAACAATGAAGAGAAAGCAAATTAATTGAGGCCAGATCGGTTCTAGCTACTTTTAAAGACATGTATCTGTAAGATAGGACAACTGTCACTCAGGAGACGAATTGGCTTTGGATTAAATCTTAAAAATAACTATATATAACATCATTCAATCCAAATGTCTCATCTAAATAACACCACCTCAACTATGTTTATATATATGAGAAAATTATAAATTAGTCTCTTTATGTATGATAAATGAATTAATTAGTATTTCTTGCTTTAAAAATTAATTATTTAGAATCTTAATTAATATTGATCGTAATTAATTTAATATTACTTTATTTCATACAATATTATATTTTCTCATCAATTTTTATATATTTTTTTCTATTTTTTAAAATAAAAATAAATTGAAAAGAGAAAAAAATTAAGTTATAAGATAATTTTAAAATATAAAGACTAAATAGTTAGTTTTTGCAACAAAAAGGATTAATTAATATGTTTTTTAAAACTAGAAGAATTAATTTACAATTTAATCATATATTAGTTCTTCTAGTTTCATTCATATATATATATATATATATATATGACCTAGAGACAAAATATTGCTCATGAATCACGATAATCACTATGCTTTGACATCACAAGGCAACAGAGCAGTTACCCCATTGTGCTTCATTGACTTTTGTTTAACCTAAATCCACCACTAAGGTCGAGCTCTCCTATTTATATTGCTATCGTGGACAAAAACAATTTCAAAACTCCATATATCATCTTCGTTGGTTTTCAAAATATTAAATTAAATGAGATTGTATAATCGTCCCACTTAATTTTGCCCTATTTGTTGGACATCCTATCACAAAATTTATATTAAAATATTACACAAACCCTAGCCTGCCTCTCTATATAAAACAGGTTAAACTTATCCTTCCTTCCTCCAAAAAAAATCAGTCTTCGCCATCTTTATCTATTTGGGTTAGGTAAATATATACATTCTATCTGGATTATGCTAGATTTTTTTCGATTGATTACGCAATTAGTCTTTTGTTTACAAATCGAATTTATTTGATATTAATACCCTATATTTACGTTCTCTTACGTAATATCATATTTTGTTTGTTTTGATCTGTTAAAAGCAGAAACGAAGGAGCTGAAGAATGAGATTTGTAGTGCTTGCTTTTTTGTTTGCATTGCTCAGCAGTTCTTGCTTGGCGGCATATAGGAAAGCTTTGGATGTTGAAATAACCCATGAACCCAAGCAGCGGCAGCTTGAAGCTTTGGATGTTGAAATAACACAAGAACCCAAGCAGCGGCAGCTTGCTGAGGACAAGGAGGTGAATGCTGGGTATCCTGGAAGCAGTGTAAATAACCACCATTACATCCCTAGGCAGGGCTTTAACAACTTTGGTGGTGATGGGGGAAATGGTGGCGGTGGGTAAAACCAAATATTGCATATGTCGATGATTTAAGAATCGTGCTTGTGATATATACATATGAGGAGTGATTTTTTTTTTCCCCTTTTTTTTCGGTGTGGTCTAGATTATATTATCTTATAGTTGGTGTATTTTCAACGAATAATGAGTTTATGTCTTCTTCTTTTTTTTTTCCTATTTGTATCATGATATTGTACGTATCTTGTTGAAATATATATCATAATAATAAATTATATATTATGTGATCTCTAAGACGAGTTAATAATTCCGCTTTACATATTATGCATGTTTGCTTGCATGCATGACTACTGCATGAGATGAAGGACAAACCGTTACGAAAAATTCTTACCTAAAATATTACATGGTGTTTTAGTAAATATATGTAGTTTTTCTTTTTCGGGAAGGAGGTGTAAAAAAACTTCTTATATCCAAATAGGATAGGATTTAAATTCACAAACCATTCAATTATTAAAATTCTGAAAATGCGTTCAAGAATTTTTTTCTACTCGATCATCTAAGTTGTTGGGTGAAGCATTTATTACCTCACTAAAACTAGATAATTAAAGTTTGTTTGTATCTTAATTTTATTTTTTTCAATAAATGTTTCATAAATAAAACTATAAAAGAACATAGCCATGGATGATTGGATTCCAACGTAAAAGAGTTTACAAAGGCCCTAAATGGGATCAAGCCCAAGAAATAGTCCAAACAATAAATGACAAGCCTATTTTAAACAGCACAATTGACGCCTTGTAGGCTTGTACCTACAAGCCCCACCACTAATATAATCCATAATTCATCATCATCATATATATCACCACGAGCTCCTTTAAGAAAATTGATGCATAATTACTAATATTATAATTTATTCTAATACTAATATATAATGATACTCCACGTTTTAAATAAGGAAGATATCGAACATAATAAAATACTTATAATATATCCCAATATAAATTTCTTAAAAAGAATATGAAAATCTTTTTTTTTAAAATCATATAACCCTATAAAACTCATAATAAAATTTTTAAATCATCATACACCAATATAGTATCTTATTAACACTTTATTTTGACCATAAAAATTCTAAAAATATTTTAAAACAAGCAAATAAAATCAAAACGTATTAAAATCCGAAAAGAATAGAATTACATTAAAATTCATTAAATTATTAAATATCATTCTTATTTTTTTTTCAAAAGAAAATCCTTGGTATTCTTTTCATGGCCTTTGAATTCTTTAAATGAAATGATTCGTAAAACTTTTATTCTTCCTTTCGGAAAATTCTGCTAATATATATATATATCAAACAAAAGGGTTCATAAATTTCTTTATCCATTTATGTATGTGAATTACTTTCAATTGAAGTTGCATATAATTTAAGTAAAATATCTAAAAATAAAACGATTCATGAATAAAGATTTTATTAACATCAAATACCTCTGTTCTTCATGATATATAAATAGATCTCATTTAAAAAGATATCTTTCATTAAATAAATGAGTTTATAAATATTATAATACTAAGGTGCTCGTTTGGTAATCGTAATAGAGTGATGGAAATGAGAATAAAAGTTTTATTTCTACATTGTAGCTGTTTGGTTAAAAGGAATGAAGTGAGAATGAGAATGAAAATTTACACACAACTTCATTTTCACATAAGATGTAGGAATAAAAACAAGGATTGAGAATGAATTGTATTCAAAATAATAATATATTTTATTTATTTATTGTCTATTAATTACTTTTACCACCGCCGCCACCATCACAACCACTATAACCATCATCATCATCACAACCACCACTATAACTACCGCCACCACCACCGCTACCACCACCACCATCATCATCGACAGCAGAACCACCATTATCATAACCACAATCACCACCAAGCACCTTTATTATTTTTACAATCATTATAGTTTAATAAAATTATTTTTCTAATCATTATTTTTATTTGTATAAAAAATCAGATATTAAAAAATTTAAATTACATTCCGATTCATTATTAGTATTCCAAACACAATATTAGAATACAAATACCATTTCAATTCCTTAATTTTCATTTCAATTCCTCGCATTCCCATTCCTATCACTCTATTCCCGATTAGTAAACATCTAATGATATTTAGTTTGTAGAAGAGAAAAATTTACTACTCTGTAAAATTAAAGTATAACATTTGTTTTTAACATTTACGAGTATCAAGTTTTATTTTTATTTTTTTAAGTTTTTTCAATTGTAGATATTTACCAAATCTTAGTAATCAAAATAAAAAAACTGAAAAAAAATATTATTAATTATTAACATATTTTTAATTTAAATATTTATTAATTTATTTTATTTTAAAATCAAACTAAATTTATTTAAAAAAAATTGAATATAATTTCTTTTGTTTTTTTTTTAAAATAACTATGCATTGCGATAAAAATATCATGAAGCTATCACATTCTCCTTAATTTTCTTTTTCTTTTTTTTTATTTTTTTGGGAAATAATAAAATGAATTTTTTTTTACTACAATATGAAGAAATATATATTTTTTTCAATTTCTTACTATACTTGTAAAAGAATTCTAAAACAAATATTAACATTAAGAATTTTAGAAGTTCAATTTCAATCACAAGAGCAATCTCTCTTTTTGGAATTCATTTTTCTTTTCGTCTAATCTATATAGAATGACAATTTACCTTTACGTTAATTATTGTTTTTAGTGAAATTATAAAAAAAATATATGATTTGAAAATAGAAAAAAAATACTATAATTGGGATAAAATTGTATACAAAATATTTAAATTTCAAATAAAAAATCTAATTTAATTCAATAAATATTTAAGTTTTTTTACTTTTCATTAAAATAAAAAATAAATTATTAAAAATTAATGATAAATATGTGAATAATACACTTGGGAACCACTTGAGAGAAACTATTATTAGATCAAAACATAAAATTAGAAAAGCTCAAACACAAAATCAAAACTTTCTTGGAAAATTTAATTGAAAAAAAATAAACATTAGCTACCATCAAGTTTATTTTCATCAATAAATCCATAATTTTTCTTTACTTAAAGATTATTAGATCCTATTTTGATTTAAAAGACCCAAATGATCATTACAACCAAAATAAGTACAAAAATTAACCAAAATTTTAATTTTTTTGACTTGTTTAAAATAAAATAGAAATTTTTCCTAATGTGAATAAATGATACAAAAGAAAACGAAAATTGTAGTAGTAAATAAATAAAAACGAACTAGCAAAAAAATTAATATATATGTATGTATTGAATTTTTTATATTATTTTTCAAATTTTTAATCCATCTTTTTTTCTGAAAGTAGAAAAAATAGAAATCTAACACGTGCTCCTCAATACAATTCACAATCAATAGAAAATTGGATTGAATATGGACAAAGGGACCTTTATTGTCTAGGATAACAAATAACATTAATAGAAAATTGGATTGAATATCTTTCTTAAAAATTGACATCACATGGACCTTTATGATGCGTTCGGTGCCTTGCACAAAATAGGGTTGGACTAGACATGATCAGTTTGTAGTAGTTGATGCACGCATTGGATCTGGAGGGCGGGACACACTTTTCCAATACTAAGGATAAAATCATTATTTCTCAATTTTTCATAATATCCATTATCTATTTATCACTCATTTATTTTTTTAATTTTATTGACTAGAGTTTGATCAAGTTTACTTATATTTTATTAAACTAATTTTTACATATAGGGGTTAATTGGAAAAAAAATTCAATCAACGAATAAATTGCATATACCAAAAAATAAGAGCCCCAAAATTTTTTTAAATAAGAATTAAAATGTCATGAAAATAAAATGTAAGACTAAAATAAATTGTTGAAAAATTTTTGACGATCAAAACAAACTTTTGTAAGAACTTCATTCAGTCTTGTCCAATCTCATCTATTTTCTGGTCCTGTCTAATCCAGTTTCATTTTTCACGTTTTGTCCCACGTACCAAACACACCTTTAATGTCATTAAACCATTTGTATGCAGATATATAGTTTCATTACTCTTGTGTAATGCACAAAATAACTATATGAATACATAAATTAATATATATTAAACTATTAAATATAATCAGGTGCATTGGTCTATTTCATGGCTTCTAAGTGCTTTTACAGAGAGAGAAAAAAACATGACCGATTAATGTATTGTTTATTATTTTTATCACATCAAATCATTATTTTTTGTTAGAAACTAGGAGCAAGAAATAAGCATAATCAAAACATTTCAAGACAAAACTACTTATTTAAACCCTTTTTTTTTAAACACCTTTTGTTTAAGCCTTTTCCTTCTTTGAAGTAGACTTATCTTTGGACAACTACCTTTCAAAAATCAAAAAACCATTTCTTTCCAAACTCCACCTAATCTGGACACATCTAGCCTAAACCAAGGATCATATTGGGAAAATTTCATCATTGCATTTAAATGATATGTTTTAGTTTTTGACTAGTTAAATTTAAACATTTCTATGATTTATTTTGAATAATTTGAATTGCCATGAAGAAAATAATTTAATTTTACAGTTTAGTCCATGAAAATTTAAACATTTATTTAATAATTTTTCTCAAAATATGATGAAATTTCCAAAATCAATTTGTAAATTTAAGTACAAATAAAAAGATGAAAATTGAGCACAAGCAATGATAGTGGAAGGTGGATAACAAATGTAAGATCTAAATGAATACTTAATGAGCATATGCCGTGATCCAATTTGAATTCAAGCCAAATTGAGTGGTGACCATTAAAAACCAGAACACTTGTAAGCAAAGTCGATAGCTTTCAACTCAAACTGAGTTCCAAAATTTGTCAAAATAGACTTATAGCAAAAAGACAAATTTAGAGCATCGTCTCTCTTTAAAATGACAGACATAGAAAATCATTACTCTTTAAAAGAACAAATCTCAGAGCATCGTCAATTTTGTCGCTACCTTGACATATGAAACTTTTGGATTAAAAAGTATTAAAAATAAAGAGT